ATCATATTTTTAACTCAATATCTATATTATTATTTGTGATTTTAGGTGCTGAAACCAATAAAAAAGTTAGCGCTATGAATATTTATTCATACAGGCTGATGATCCGTGATGGTAAAATAAACCACGTTTTGATGTGTCAACGACTTTTTCAACAGTTCGCTGTTGACAGTATGTCAAAATTGAGACTGAGCGATTAACATACATCCGCTTAAACCAACACCTTCGATCTGAGAAATACATCCATCTACGTGATGCTATTATTGCCGATGGTAATGCAAACAATGTGGGTAAAATGACAATTTTGCCGGCTACCTACATTGGAAGCCCGCGCCACATGCACGAATACGCACAAGACGCATTGACATACGTTAGAAAATATGGTCGCCCTGATCTATTCATTACATTCACATGTAACCCGCAATAGATAGAAATTAAGAAAGAATTGATACACGACCAAACACCAGGATATAGACATGATATTACTGGCAGAGTTTTTAAACAAAAATTGAAATCTTTGTTGAATTTCATAATAAAGCATCATGTATATGGCCAAGTACGTTGCTGGATGTACTCTGTTGAGTGGCAAAAGCGTGGTCTTCCACATGCGCACATCTTAGTCTAGTTAATTGACAAAATGAGGCCAGAAGATATTGATTCAGTCATATCAGCAGAGATTCCTAATAAAAATGTTGATCCAAATTTGCGTGCAATAATTACTAAACATATGATACATACTCTGTCAAGTCAATAAAATATATATGCAAATATATTAACAAAGGTAGTGACATGGTCATGTTCGCTGTTGCTAACATGTAACTAACAAGTAGAAGTTTCTGAGTATCAGATGAGTCGCTACGTAAGTAGCAATAAAGCAATTTGGAGAATTTTTTTTTTTCCCAATATATAAAAGACACCCATCTGTAGTCCATTTGGCAGTCCATTTAGAAAATGGACAAAGAGTATATTTTAACCCCGTTAATGCTGTTGATAGAGCGGCGCATCCACCTCCAACAACATTAACAAGTTTCTTTTCAATATAGTACATCCAAATAATGATGAATGTTATTACCTTAGGTTATTGCTGGTTAATGTTCCTGGATCGACATCATTTCAACAATTGAAAACAGTTGATGGACATCTTTGTGCGACTTACCGTAAAGCATGTCACATGTTGCAGTTGCTCAAAAACGATTCGCATTGGGATAATACGCTCAAGGATGCTATATATCCTCATTTTCGCATCAAGTGCGTACATTGTTTGCGATTATAATTTAACATGTTTTCCCTCAAATCCAAAAGATTTGTGGATCAAATACAGAGATGACATGTCTGAGGATATTTTACATAGTACGCGTTGTCAAACATTCAATCCAGCACTACAAATTACTGCAGAAATTTATAATAAATCTTTAATGATGATAGAGGATATATGTGTTTATTGATGCCGAATAAAATATTATCATGTTTGGGCCTGACAGCACCAAACCGTTGTGTACAAGATGCATTTCACCACGAGTTAAGAAGAGAGCAACAGTATGATATTAAAACATTGACCGAAATAGTTCGCACAACTGTTCCAAAGTTGAATGATCATCAAAGGATTGTATTATATATGGTTATATAAGGATTATATATGGTGATTTGATACAAGCTGTGAACAATTCCTGAAAAACATTCCTGTTATCATTGCTATTGGCAAAGATCAGATAGCAAAATAACGTAGCTCTAGCATTGGCATTATTAGGAATAGCAGCAACATTGTTAGAAGATGGACACACGGCACATTCAGCATTGAAGTTACCTCTTAATATGCAAATCAATGAAACGCCAGTTTGCAACATCAGAAAAACTAGCGCCATGGCCAAGATACTTCAGACACGCAAATTGATTATCTGGGACAAATGTACAATGGCCCACAAGAGATCACTGGAAGCACTGGACAAAACATTGAAAGATTTACGTGACAATCAAATATTTTTTTGGTGGGGCAATGATTTTGTTGTCAGGTAATTTTCGCCAAACTCTTCCAGTTATACCACGATCAACTGTTGCTGACGAACTAAACGCATGCCTAAAATCTTCAAATTTGTGGCGCCATGTTAAGAAACTCCAGTTAACAACGAACATGCGAGTGGTTTTGCAACAAGGTGAAACAGCGAAAGTGTTTTCAAAGCAGTTACTAAATATTGGAAATGGTAATGTCGCAGTTGATGCCTCGAACGTGTTAATAATATTTCCCGCAGATTTTTGCAGCTTCACAAACATATAGGAGGAGCTTATTCAATACGCATTGAAATATAAACGAACAATTTCACGATCTCAATTGGTTGAGCGAACGAGCAATATTGGCGGGAAAAACAAAGATGATGATTTCAATGCAACAATACATAGTTTACTTCCAGGGGAATGCTTTACTTATAAATCTGTAGACACCGCTACAAATCAGGATGACATACTCAACTATCCTACAGAATTTCTAAATTCATTAGAATTGCCTGGGCTGCCGCCACATAATTTACAATTGAAAGTAAGATCAGTTGTCATCATGCTACGTAATTTAAATCAGCCCATACTATGCAATGATACAAGATTGTTATAAAAAAGCTAATGAATGATGTAATTGTGGCAAAAATCATTAAAGAAAAATACAGGGAGAAGATGTATTGATCCCGCAAATTCCTATGATCCCAACGGATTTACCATTTGATTTCAGACGTTTATAATTTTGAATACGCTTCGCTTTTGCAATGAGCATCAATAAATCGCAAGGATAGTCGCTGCAGGTTTGCGGTATCAACTTAGAATTTCCATGTTGCGCACACGGCCAATTATACGTCGCGTATTCGCGCGTCGGGAAACCATCATTCATATTCATTTACGCACCGCAAAAAAAGACCAAAAATATTGTCTACAAAAAGCTTTATATTGATTCCAAAACATTCGATTCATAAGATGTATGAAAGATGTATAAATATTTTATATATGAAATATAAAAAAATAGGTATTTTTTAGGATTAAATATAGTATATCTGAAATCTTCGCATTGATTCTATTCATAACCAAACGTGTTAATTATTTCATATACAAGATTTAATTAAATTTTATTAATGATTACACAGGTCAACAAAGAAAATGGTGCAAACGATTTTAATGCTGTTTTTAAGTATATTTGGGGCGCTGATTTCAAAAATGACATTGGTTTTTTTCTATGAGCTTTAGTTTTCAAGATACGATATATATGATATATTTTACGATATTAGGTGCGCAACTAAGTTCTCGCTGTTTTTTCGATGAAATGTAACTTTATTATAAAAAAAATGCATCAATTGAGTTCGATACAGTTCTCCAGTGATGGTTTCACTCAGTTTCAACAGCTCATAACAAATAACACCGACCTGGTTCCACCATATGTAGAGCATAACCTTCGCAGTAAATATTCGGCCAAACCGAGATTTTCTCGTCTTTGGAATGCTGTAATGTATTCATTTTTTATCACCTGTCACGATGTGATGAAAAACCTCTTCTTTTCTCGCCGCTGGAGCAGTTGTTTACAGGCGAAAAAACGACGCTCGACGTCTCTTGGCTTCAACTCACAAGAAACCGAAGTTTCTTGCTTCTAAATCATCCCCGGCGCATGCTATAGCTTGGAAATGGTTTGATGGGTAACTCCTAATTCTAAAGCAAGATCTTCTTGAGTTTGGCACGAATCCTCTTCGAACAAGGCCTTCAATTTAGCGTTTTTGAAGGTTTTGGCCTTCTTTCACGAGGGTGGTCGTCAACATCAAAATCACCATTTTTGAAGCGACAAAACCCTTCACGACATGTTGTTTCGCTCAGAGCAACATTTCCGTAGGTCTCAATGCACTTGAGTTCCCGTTTTTTTTTTGAATGAAAGACAAAAATCAACACTCCTAGCAAATCACGATTGTTTGGCATAAAATTGGACATATTCACTTAACCAGAAGTATATAATGCAAAAACAAAATGTGTCACAGCAGTTTGTTTACTTACTCTAAGCTTGCTTCAAGACGTTTTGGATTTGTCAAAATCGACCAACCCTTACTGATAGAGCCATATACTGACAAACATCGAGAACTTAGTTGCGCACCTATATAAGGAACAAAAGTACAAAAGAGTAATACAATTCCGAATGTTATTTTAATGAGATAAGACTACTCGTACATACAAACTTACAAGACCCATTCGGCCTTAGTTGGAACATTAGTGGACACTGTGAAAAGTTCTTTTTCGTGACGACCTCGAATGGACCTGGTTTCGGCAACTTCTGTGTATCTCAAAAACTAGAGCTGATACAAAAAATGGTTTGCAGATTTGAAATCAGCACGAAAAATACTATAGAATCAGCTCTAACATTTGAGGCACCAAAAAAAAAACTTTTTTTGTTGGCCTGTGTTATTTATGTGATACGAAGTTCACCGGGTCAGCTAGTATATTAAATATATTATATATATATATATATATATATATATTTATATATATATATATATATATATATATATATATATATATATATATATATATATATATATATTCTATGGGGTTTTATAGTGTGTACTGTTAAAGGTTTGTTTTTTTATTTAAATCAAATAGTTTTATGAATGCCATTTCCACAAAAATTAATATTAATCGTATTTCATCTAGAATGAACTTGGTTCAAGAGATTTCAAAACATCATGCAAAAATTCATGATGGTTTTTTTTACCGCAGATACTATACATTAGTTCTTTTTGAATTTGTTATACTGTTTAAAAGATTGCAATTTCCAATACGTATATCTTATGGTATAAAACACAAAGGCAAAGACAATCGGTGAATTTTTGTGTGATAAATTTGAAAAATCAATGTTTTAGTCGTGAATAAATAAAAAAATATTTGTTTATACATCTACATCTACAAGGATGACTAAAAATATTGTATAACCTCTGCCATTAAAATAAATAGACTTATTGGAAATAAGTTTTTTTTATAAATAGTAGTGCATAATTTTATTATACAATTTTATTGAACATATTTCAATATTTGTTTGTTTGATATATGTTAATTGTTTTACGTGGCTGATTTGAATTTCACAGTATAATTAAAGAGTTAAGTGTAGGATCTGAGACACATTTAAGCTCATACTACCGAATCGGTTTAAAAAAACGAAAAACTGTTCGAAAGATATTAGTTGGAAATAATACTGATTAGTTTTAGGTAAAAATTTACCGAGCATTTTTCTTGTAATTAACTGTCAAAAAAAATTAAGCCAATTTTTATGAAACTTTTTTTATCAATATATATCATGGTTTTATAGAACTTACTGAAATATAACGGCATTACGACAAGTAGTTTAATTTTAAAAATTCATCAAAGTTTGAGAAAATGAGTAGTTTTTTTGACGTTTGTTAAAATTAAAATTAGATGACGTTACTGTGGTTGTTGAACATGTCTGGCAATATGATACTAGTAGACAGAGTGAGACAATTGCCAAATACATTGATACTTACATACATGTTACATTACATCACACAAACATGTAAGTATTTACTTAGAGTTTCTCTAAACTTCCAAAAGTGTTATAAAAATATATAAATCAATAAAAAGATATCTCTATCTTTATAAAAATGTATTAAAATATATGATTATCAAAACTACAAAATGTCATGACATCAATATTTGTTTCTCACAACTGTCTACTAGATTCCCATAATGTCTAAGATATATCTTCAGCATGTTAGAATAAAGCTGCGTTGCTTTAATATTCTTTAATCTCTATAAAAACGCAGATAGTTATTAAACAACGCATAAAGAAATACTTATTTCATAATTTGACTTATCATGTGATTGTGTTTGAAAAACTTCATGCAATTAAAATTAACATATATTCATTGACTGCTAGTTTTTTTTTACTTTTTTGGTCGCCATCTTAGAACAGCTGTAATATCTGTTTTACCTATAAAAATATTTTCCATTTTAATAACTTCAAAGATTTATAGAAGCTACGAATAATTGAAAAATTATTTCAATATACTTACTTTCTTACACGGCACAAATGTTTCATTTATTTTATTATTATCATTATTATTATTTACATAGGATAGGGTACAATTTTCTTTCACGCTTTGACGTGTATGTGACGAACGCATACAATTAAATATCACTCGCATGACCAATTGACAAACAGTTCGGGCGTAACGAGCTTCCGTTGCATTTTCACAGATTTATTCCCTAGTCGCGCCTAAAAAGTTTTACTTCAATAATTTTTCTTACACTTTATTTTTAGCAATCAAAATGTACATTATTTCTATAAGCTGAACTAATAACTAGTATAGGTATTGTGATTAAGATAAGTTCCAGTGAAATTATCTCATTATGTGATAAGGACGTGATACCTTGTGATCAGGTTCTCATCAGCTTCGTTCTCAGCCTAGGTCATAAGAAATTGTTTGCTAACTTGGATATGGTCGCTTCCTAATTTACTCAGATCGTTCGGGATCACCATTCGAATTTGATAAACTTAATTGAAATTGACTTGAGATCTTCTAGCCATTTTTTTTAAGTTTTCTAGTTGGGATGTTCTGTACAATATGTTGCATGTTAGAATTATTATGTTGATAACTTTTTGAGTGTTACCTATTTCTGAGCTTATTTATAATTTCGCATACATGTCGATTTTCAGGTCATTATGAATAATTTTGTTGTTTACATATCATGATGTATTAACGATGGATCATAGTATCTCATTTTGTGTTTTTTGCATCATGTTAATAGTAGAGGCGCTTACACACCCCCACTGTTGTATACTGCAAGTTCAAATAAAAATACCGGTCTTATAAATCAGTAATTTTTTGCGACACTTTGGACGTTAGTTCCCTATGTGCGAAGGCATGGAAGGGGAACTCAAATTGACGTTGAAATTGAAGCTCAAAATGACCACTACGGGATGCTACTATAACCGAAATAGTGAACAAATGAGCGTAAAATATTATTTCATTTCAAATATAAATAACTTAAATAAAAATGAAACACCGAAGTGCATTGTAAAAGCAACAGTATGAAAAGCGAGTGTAAATTCTATAAATTTTTACAGCCAAATGGAAATTAAATCAACGTTAACATTGGATAGCTGCTGTTTAGAAGGATAGACTAAGTATCATAACCTTATTGTTATGGGAGTATTATAAATTGTTGTAAAATTGTTATGTTTAGGAAAAAGAAAATTTTGAAGTCAATAAATTGTTATATTTTCAAAATTTAATGATTAAAAGCAAAAAAAGAATATTTTGCAAATAGTTTAATATTAATGCTGAAATATTAAAAACTACAAATTTATTATATTAAATTAACTACATATAATTTAATTACATAAAATTATAGATTGATTTTAATTGAATGATTAAAAGAAAAATAAAAGTTATCACAGGGCAATTGTTTTTATTTTGCAAACAGTTTAATTAATACAATGCTGAAATAATGAAAAATATATATTCTGAAGCATTGATGAATCATTGTGGGTCCCAAGCCGTATGATAGTATTTGTAGTGACCTTTTCATTGGATGCAAAAAATCAGAAGAAGTGTTGACTCCTATCCACTTTTC